AAAAGAAGGCATGGTCTGGGATGGGGGAATTCAGGGATTTTCCAGACAACCATGAGCCAACCCAGCTGGCAGTAAAAGAGGAAATTCAATGGGAGGTGCTGGACTGGGCCATATTTTGGGGGCCTTAAATGCTAAGGGGAGATGCTTATGCCTTATTTGTAGTATGTGGGAATGGGCAGTGAAATCATCAGAGCAAGAAAGTGGAGAGGGCAGGGCTAGAGGTAGGGAGACCGAGGAGGAGGCGGCTGAGAGACGAGGAGGCCTGGACCAAGGTGGTAGGATGGCATTCGGGGTGGGATCCAGGAGCAAAGAACTGGAATGCAGCCCAGTCAGCAGCAGTGAGTGTGGCGGGGAAGAAAGAGAGGAAGGTATGAGATAGTGCTGAGGTTTCCCAGCATAGGGGCTGACTGTCACTAGGCCGGACAAGAAGGCCCATCCCCAACAGACAGGAAGGATAAGGCTTCTAAACTCAGCAACTCCTGCTCCAGTAGCTTGGGCCCAGGGAGCACTTGGGGGAGCACTTCAGCACCCCTCCCACAGGACTGATGTGCTAATGGTCACCCCAGGCCTTGACAGAGAGAAAGGATGACTCCCTGACGATGCATCCACACCACAGGGGACAAGGCAGAGCATGGAATGCCCTCGGGGTGCTGGGACAGGCAGCCACTGGGACCAGGAGGGCTGCTGTGTGGTGGGTTTGTTGGTGGTTGCCTGCTTAACCCACGGGTCATTTCCTCTGACCTCTTTTCCAACACTGAGTATTCTACAATACAGACAGTTCAGAAAACCAATTCCTAGGAAGAATCAATTCCAGAAGAAGAGAATCCAAGGGCATGCTTCAGCTAGCCAGGGGCACATTTTACTGTTTTTGAGGTGCATACCTGGAAAATATGCAGAGACTGCCAGAAATGGAGGTTAGTTCTCTGGTATGTGGGGTGTATCCTGAACCCTTGGGTTAAGTATTCTGGAAATGGAGCACAGATTTCAGAATTGCAGGCTCATTCCGGAACTCTGGGCTCTGTTTCAGATTCTCAGGGATGTTTGAGAAGCCCAGGGTATATTCTGGCATTCTGGGACATATTTCAGAACTCAGGGGGCCTGCTAGAGTCCTGGGCTGATTCTCCATCATTCACCTCTTTGGGTCTGTCTTGTTGCCTGTGATCGGCTGGCCCACATGGTTACAGGGAGGCAGTTGATATGGCAACAGTAACCATGAGGTGTATCAACTTTGAGAATTTACCCTGAGCCTGTGACATTTTAACTGGGGGAGAATCACAGTTTGCTCCTGAAAGCCTGATGAGCAGGGACTCCTGCCAATCTTGTTTTTGTGCCTCCCTTCCCCCAAACCTTAAATAACCTCTCTTTTGGCCCATAAATCTAGCTGTCCAATTCTCCCCTGGGCAAATGAATATTCAAAAGCAGCCCAAAAAGCATATTCAAATCTTATAAATTTTCTCCTGCCTCACTCCATTTAAATGCAACTACTGCTTCTGTTTTGCCTCATTTATCTGCCAGGAAAGTGAAGGGTAATTCCAGGAGGTGAGAATAAGCACTTTTCCCAAGCTGCTTTAACGTCTTAAGTGGGGTAAGGGAGGGGTAAGGCTGAGCTTCTCACTCCTATAAATTAGGCCCCTCAGACAAGTCTCACAGAATCCTAAAATGCTGGAGTGTATCTGCAGAAACCGTGGTCCAGGGAGAAGTGACATCACATAAATGGCAGAACTGGGGCTCAGCAGATCTTGTAACCCCCAGGCCTGGGCTGTCCTCCCCAGAGGCTGTTTCTTAACCAATAGGGCACACCTCTTGCTGTCAGCTGCTCCTTGAGTAGACTTTTTTGTCCAATCCTCTGCCCTGTCTACAAAATCACAGACTGTCAGGTGTGAAGAACATTTAAGGGTTACCTGACTTTACAGGTGGGGAAACTGAGGCCCACAGGCATTCCCTCTGATGGTTGGTAGAGGCAGAGTGGGTACCTGAACTTCAGACTCCCAGTTCCCAGCCCACACACAGCCCCTTCTATCATGCTTACCTCTTCCATGTGCACTGGTCATCCATCCACCCATCCACCTGTCCACCCATCCATCCATCCATCCATCCATCCATTTGTCCCTCCATCTGTCTATCTATCCATCTCTCCAGAAAGACATCAAATACCTGCTGAGTGGCCTGTACCCTCCTTATGCCTGAACATGACAAGAAGCTCACAGTTGCCCTACCTGGCACCTATGTTTAGGACCCAGGCCATCTGGTCTAGCCCACCGCAGTGATCTCCTTCTGCCAACCAACATTCTCCCATCCAGACCAGTACATGCCAGTCTTCCCATGTCACCCTCTACACACCAAGCTCTTCTGGTTTCTGCCCTTTTCCCCCCTACGTAGCTGGTCCCCATCTCCACAGACTCCCCCACAGGACTAATCTAAACCCTACTCACTTTCTAAGGGCCACGGAAAAAGCCTCTTACCCTTGCAAAACATTTCTTTACCAACCAGGGCACCTGAGTTCTTCTATAATATTTTGACTAGAATGGCACAAACAGGCTAGATTTTGTCCTATGCAGTACTGTAGCCTCATGCTGTTTTTTTTTTTTTGCCATACTGGGGACTTAATCCAGGGGAGCTCTACCACTAAGTCACATTTCCAGCTTCTTTCTTTCTTTCTTTCCTTCCTTCTTTCTTTCTTTCTTTCTTTCTTTCTTTCTTTCTTTCTTTCTTTCTTTCTTTCTTTCTTTCTTTCTTTCTTTCTTTCATCTGTCTGTTTTTCGAGACATGGTCTCCATATATAGTGCAGGCTGGCCTTGAACTCACTATGTAGCCCAGGCTGGCTTTGAACTCTTGCCAATTCTTCTGCCTCAGTCTCCTGAGGGCTGGGATTACAGGTGTGTGGCACCCTTCCCAGCTGATCCCCAGCCTTTTAAAATTTTTATTTTGTGACAGGTCTAAGTTGTTCCGATTGCCCTCTAACTTGCAACCTTCCTATCTCAGGCTGCACACTATTTTATTACTAGCATTGCTGTTACTGTTTCACACAGGAATTTTTCTTCAACCTCCACACAAGTTCTTAGTTGGGACAGACCCCTGTTAACAAAAGGCAGATCCATAAGAGAAAAACATGGCCGTGTGTTGCAGCCAGGGAATTTGTAGTTCTTGGAGCAGTGGTTTTGGAATCCAGCTTATATAGCATCCTCAATAAAACAGTAAACTCAGAGAAATGACAAGACAAAGGGAAAGGACTTTGAGTCTCTAGGGGTAGGAATTTGAGAGGAGGCAAATAAGTGGTAGATAAGGCTAGTTAGTAAAGTTTGCTCATGTAGCTTCCTCTGGTGCCAACATCTCCAGCTGATAAAGGTCCAAAGCTTAACCCGTATCCTCTCTGGTGTTGATGCTGTGTGTGTGCACGCGCGCGCGTGTGTGTGTGTGTGTGTGTGTGTGTGCGCACAAACAACAGGATACCTTCTGTCTTTGTAAGTAGGTGTCCTGCTTTTAGGCAAACAGAGGGCAGAGAGCCCTCCCTCACATACTTCTTAGTTGCCTTCAGCTCAACAGCTTTTCCTACTTGCAGTGGCATATTCTGGTCTCCCATAATTACATTTGGGTGATGCTGAGATGTAAAGTAGACAAGGGGAGTCACAAAAGGGCTCAGGCCTTAGCCTTGCCTGTGAGACACAGCAGAGAGGCCCCTTGCTGACCTGTGCCAGTCAGCATGCTCGTGAGCCAGGTGATGCCTATGGGACTCTAAAGCACTGAATAAGCAGGAGGGGTTGTCTTCATGCCATAGTAGGTTTCCTCTTCGCTCCCTGGGCTTCTAGTCTTAAATACTGGCTGATGGATCACTTCAGGGACAGCTTCCCTCCTTCTCTCCAATTCCTCATCCCTGAGGCAGAAAGCGGTGTCCTTCTGGGACACCTTTGGGACAGTCCCCCTACCCCTCCAACCTGAGAAAGATCCACAGTAGTAGTGGGGACAGGCAGGGTTTGTTTTTCTTCCAAGAAGACTCATTTCCTCATTTGGTTTGGGGTGCCTGGGGACCCATAGGCTTTTGAGTATTTCTGAGGGGATGTGGCTTCCTTAGGGATAGGCTCTTTTCTGGGAAATCAAGAAAACCCACGGCTGGTCTGACTCCCCCTTGGCAGGTTCCTGACTTTAATCTTAATTGTGTTCCTCTTTCCTGGCTGTGGCTTTAATGCTCCCCTGGGGACCTGTGGTAGGAGGTTTAAGCTTTAAGCACTATTTTTCCCTGCTGATTGATTTTTACTTTCCAGAGCTGAGATTTCTTTACATCTTATGGAGAAAAACTCAGACTGATCCTTCCTCACCTCAACACAAAGTGAAAATATATGTGTCAGGATTGTCATGCACCGTGCACCCCATCCCTGCATATACAGGCCCAGGTGTGCTTGCAAAGGAGCAGAGGTGCATGGGGATGGGGGCATGTGAGGCACCCTCCCTGCAGGTGCTGGCAGCATTTGTGCTTAGCAGCATCTCCCTGCAGTCTGGCTCCCCAAGTCCCTAGCTCACATCCACTGTAGGGAGTAGATTTACACATTGAATGGCACAGAGAGGGGACTCAGTCATGGCTGTGCCTTCACTGTGTGCACAGATTTGTACACTTGCATGCACCCTTCTGTGTAAAAATGTAGACTCGTGTGCAGCCATGTGCCACAAGGTAATCATTAGCATTGATAGTTATACACCCCATGTTCCAGGCACCGTGAACTTTGGGGGTATTGACATATGGAGTACTTACAGCAACTCTATGATGTACACAGGACTCCATTAGTCTCTATGTTCAGGCATGTGGAAACTGAGGCCAAGATTACATAATGCTAGCATTAGGATCTTGAATGTTCCCAAAGAAGGCTTGGTCTCCAGCCTGCGGTGCTATAGGGAGATGAGTGGACCTTTAAAAGGTGGGGCCTAGTGGCAGGAAGTTCCGTCATTAGGGGTGTGCCTTTGAAGGGATATTGGAACTCTGCCTATGTCTCTTTTTACTTCCCAGCCTCCTCTAAGGTGAGCAGCATCTCTATCTCATGCTCCCACCATGGTGTACTGGGCTGTCTCAGGCCCAAAGCAACAGGCACAAGTGACCATGGACTGAAACCTCTGAAATGGTGAGCCCAAACACACCTCTTCCTTTACTGAGCTGTTTATCTCAGGGATTTTGTCACAGGGACAGAAAGCTGACTCATGGAATGCTAACACAGTAAACTTGTCCAATGTCCCACAGCTAGGAAATAGGAGAGCAGGACTTTGACTTCAGGCAGTGGACTCTATGATCTGTGCTCATAACCTGCAGGCTAATTTGGAAATGAGGACCTCTTTGTGGGTACTGTGATGAGTAAGCTGTCCCATTCCTAGGTCTTTCCTTTATACAAGTGTGAAAGTACACGGTGGTTCTGCCTGCAGTTGTGAAGGCAGGCAGGTGAGTGAGAATCCACATACCTGCTCCCAAATGCTCCCTGGAGCTGCTGGGAGCATTTCAGCTTTTTTTAGCAGACCAGTGCCCTGCGGTTACCATACTTGCCTTCCCCCAGGCAGAGAGCAAGGAGGCAGGCCACTCACCCACAGGTGCACAGTTAGGTAGCTACACCTGCTTCCACCCCATCCCCATGTCTTCTTATGGAGATCACTTTTGGGACACATACCTTCCCTGAGAAACCTCAGTGGACCAGTCCAATGGAGTAAGGCCTCTTCACTGAGCACCATGATGTGGTTTAGGATTTCCTGCATTCTGGCTTCTGGCTCTGCTTCTTCTTAGCTAGATGAACTCGGACCATTTTCTTTTTTTTTTCAATTTTTAATTTATTTTTATTACTATTTTTTATTGTTTTGGAACAGGGGATTGAACTCAGGACATTGCACTTGCAAGGCAGGTGGAGGAACCACTGAGCTAAATCCCTGGCTGGACAATTGTCTTAACCTCTTTGAGCCTCAGTTTCCTCATCTTTAAAATGGAGATAATGTTTACACCTACCCCAAGGACAATGGGAGGATTATATGAGGCAACACATGGAAAGGGCTTAGACCTGCACCTAGCACTTAACCAGCCTCCCTGCCATTGTCGCTGCTTTAGCCCTTGCTGGCAAGCTTTGCATGGTTACTGGTCAGCTTCCCCTTGTAAAGTCAGGGACCATGACTTATTTCTCCTTTGGTTCCAGGGCTTGGCTCAGTCACTGGCACATTTTTGGCACTGCTCAGCTTTGCCTGAGTATCTGAATGAGGGAGCCCAATTCTTTTTCTGGTGCGGGACCTGTTCCTGCAGTGAGTGGGATCAACCCTGACCCTATGTTTCGGGGTGGGCTGAGGCTGCCTGTCCTCTGTCAGGGATGCAAAGTAGGCCAGGCCTCCCCAGGGAGGTTGCCGTGGCAACAGGGAAAGTTCTAAACAGCAGAGACACACGGGGTTGGCTGGGAAGGATGGTGACGGTCCAGGGAGACAGGCTGCTGAAGTGGCTTTGGGAGCCTCAGTGATTCATCTGTGAAGTGGGGGCTGTTTCCAGTTGGCCATCAGGGTCCACTGTAAAGAGGTCATCAGTGGAGAAGGCTATTGAGAGCTGCAGACAGCCATGCCAGTTGGTTGCCACTTTACAGCGTCTTTCCCCACCAGCATGGAAGCTACACAAGGGCAAGGTCATTGTGCTGTTCTCTGCTGCACCCTCAGCACCTAAAGCCATGTCTGACACATAGGAGGTGCTGTGTAATAGCTGCTCACTAAAGAATCGGTCACAAAGGAAGTGGGGACATCTCTAGGTTCTCTCCCCAGTGCACATCCAGAATCCAAAAGCTGCACCAGAGACCCCCTCAGCAGCACCTCCAACCTACCCCAGATCTCCATAGGCTCTGAGTATCACCCCACCCTAGCTGTGAGCTCTGTGAATATGGGCAGGGGACTGGATTCCATCTTGTAGTGGGACAGCTGTCCTAGATTGGGCCTCTTGGATTTGGCTGATGACAGAAAATTGAAGTAGTGCTGTGTGTGGTGGTCATGGTGGATGAGAAGCATATGTCTCCAGGTCCCTCCCTAGTTATGCCACCTCAGACTCTGCCAGGGGTGTGGCCTGGCATTGGGGTTCTACCAAATTCCCAGGGGATTCTGGCGATGTGCCAAGTTTGGAGATCTCTGGCTGGGGCACAACCTTCTGCAGCTAGAGGGACTGTCGTGGGGATCCCTGGCCAATCCAAGGTCTGGCACTTCTTGTACCTCTGGGAGACTGAGGTCCAGAGAGAGGAATGAGTGGGCCCAGCTCTGACTGTGCCCTCTTACTCCGGCAATCTTCTTACCTTCTCTGGCCTCAGTTTCTCCACCAACAATTGTGCTGTCTGTTGATCTGGCTTCTGCAGAGGACTGAATGTTATGACTTGAAGCTCCAGATTCTAGCCAAGAGAAGAAATAGCAGGGAAAAAGCAAAGGTACTGTTTTGGGCCTGCAGGCTGGCCCTCCCTCTTCCGGTTTCTCGGACAAGTGCCTTTGTCTTATTGAGCATTAGTCTCTTCCTCTGCAAAATGGGCACAACAAGATGCATTTCATGGAGAAGGGGGGTAGTGGTGCTGTTAGCAACATGGAGATTTAGTGTGAATTCTGCCTGTGCTAGGGTGATAGCTGGGTGACTCCAGGCTAGTGTCCTGACGCCTCTGAGCTTTAGCTTCCTCATCTGTGAAATGGGGGAGATTAGCCCCAGCTTCCTGGAGATAACTGTGAGGATTGGGTGTGAGGCTGTCCACAGGACACACAGTAGGGGGCGCAGCTGAAATGAATGCCCTTTGGAGGAAGGCAGTCGGGATGTGACTCGGGTGTGTGGCCCGGTCTGCCCTGGAGCCGGAGAGAAACCTGGGATCTTGGCTCCTGTATTCAAACAGCAGCCCAGAGCAGGGCCAGCGGAGGGGAGAGGTGTTTGTTTGAACAGCCCAAGGAGCTGAGAGGCCCCTAGTGTCCCTTAGCCAGTTCCTGCTGAGTTGCAGGAGGTGGAGGCTGGGGAAGTGATGATCAGTTGCAGCTGTGTGCTGTGCGATACTTTCTAGCTGAAAGCAGTTTCTAACTCGTCATCTTAATGCGTCCTCACGATAACCCTGGTAATTGTTGGCTTCTTCTTTCTGCTGGGGAGATGACAGCCCAGGGGGCTTAACTGGCTTGGCCAAGGTCACAGGGCAGAGCAGCAGCTAGAGGGAGACAAAGTGGGAAGTGTCAGTGTTTCTAAAAGATGGTGACCAGCCGTTGGGACATCCTGACTGTCTTTGGCTTAATTCCTGCTTGCTGCAATCTCTGTTGGTCCTAATTGTTTTGTGGGATCATAAAGCTCAGACTCTGAGGCCAGATACCTGGGTTCAAATCCTGACTGTGCTGCTTCCCAAATATGTGTCTTAAGGAAGCCCTCAAGCCCGTCAGAGCCTGGATTCTTCATCCTTCTGATGGGGATAATAGTGGCAGTCCATGTATAGCTTTGCCATGCCGTGCATAGCTCTGCTGGTGCTGGATGACAGTGTCCTGAAAGTCACATCACCGGTCTGGGCCTCAGTGATTTCATCTGCCAAATGGGGATACTGGCACCTGCCAGTCAGGATTTGGTTTAATGTTCACAGCAGCCAAGGCTGTTGGTCCTTTTCGTCCCTCTATGCAGATGAGGAAATAAGACCTGGGGTGGGGGTATGTCTACAGTTACTGGCTAGTGACCAGGACAATCCAACTCATAATAGACCCTGAGGTTCCTGATCCTTTAGCTCTGCAATATGCCTTCTCCAGGGAGTCCTTTAGGGCTCCTCAGCTTGCTAGGGACTTTGGAGCCTGGGGGCTGTTCCCTGATGCTGGAGCTTGGAGGTGTGGGGCTCCAGTCCTATCGGGGGAAGGTGGCAGGCCCTGGCCCATGGGAGGATAGCCCTTAGCTGGCACTGGAGCCCGAGTGCTGGTAATGACCCTGTTTTCATGTGGCAGCGTTCATGGTCTCCCCCTCGCTCCACTGTGCTCCCAGAGCTCCCACTTTGGAGGAAGGCAGCAGCAGGTTATATAAGGAAGAGTGGGTTATGTAAGGATGGATCAGGCCCCTTGGGACTGGGGAACAGAACCGGCCTCAGCAGCCTGCTGAGCCCCAGCAGAGCAGGGCAGGTTCCTGTGCTGAGTGCTCAGAACCCCATCTGGGGGCTGGGTCTGCATCCCGCAGAGATGGGAGGGAGGGAGAGAGCACTGGACAGGGAGCCAGGAGTCCTGGCTTGGGCCTCACTTTCTTATGGCTTGCCAGATCCAGTCCTTCCCTAGGCCTCAGTTTCCTTTCTGAAAAACTGGATAGAGGTGGCCTGGGTAATCTCCAGGGGGCCTCTCATTCCAGGGTGCTCTATTTCTCTCCCCTTGCAGTAGGAGATTTCTAGTTTTGGGCTCTTACTCTCTGGGCGTGTTCTCTCTCTGGGCCTGGATCCCCCTGCTTGTCTGGCAGGGAGCATGAGCTGCGTTGTTGCCAAAGGGTTTTGGAGGTGGGCAGGAGAGAGAGCCAGGGGCTCACCCCCTCTCCTCTCCTCTGTGCTTCAATCATGTTCTAGCTGACACCAGCTGCACCCCGTACTAACAGCAGTAACCACAAGGACAGTTGCTGTGTGCTGACCTCTTACTATGGGCCAGACCCTGTGCTAAGGCAATTTGTGGGCACTGTCTCATAAAATTCTCACAAAAGCCTTAGGAAGTCAGTACTTTTACTAACCCTATTGTACAAGTAGAGGCTGAGGCTCAGAGAGGGTAAGTAACCCACCCAAGCTCACACAGCCAGTAAACAGCCAAGCCAGCATTTGATTCCAGGCTTGTTAGATTCCAGCGTCCATGACACATAATTGGGCTCGTTCTCTCCAGAGACCACAGAAGTGGGTATGGCCAGATGGTGTAAACAGCCCTGTTCCCTGGTTGAAGCTTTGAGGAATGTCCATCCCCCTCACTAGCCCCCCCCGGACCTCTCTGGACTCACCCCCCCCATTGTTCCCTTTGTGCCACCCACAGTGGCCATGATGGCATCTGTGGAGTGGGCAGCACAGCCTGCAGGCTGAGTGGGCAGTTGGCACGGGGATACTTGGGCACTGGTATTTTTAAACCCCTGTACCGGCCAATGTCTGCAGTTGGCTTAGGGAGGGTGAGGCCTCCTCTGGGCCCCATGGAATCTTGAATGGGAAGGTCGGGGATCACCAGTGGCAGGAGCTGCCCACCATGCCAGATAGGGAGATGCTTGGAACTGGGGTGGGATTTGTGTTCTTTGGGCACCAGGAACCCAGAATCCTGAGTAAAGCACATGGAAGCCGAGGGCAGGTCTGAGGCTGTGTCTTGGAACAAGGAAGCAAGGGTTGGACCTGGGAGAGAAGAGGGAGGAGGGCCGAACAGGAGGCAGAGGTGCTGAACTGGGTGGAGTGGGTGGCAGGGTCCTGAGCAAGCATGGAATCCCACCTACTTCCTTTGAGCTGGGGAGCTGAGGTCCTGAGAAGGAAATGATCAGATCCCACAGTGAGGAACAGGCAGAATGAGGACTTGAACCAGAGTTCTTGACTCCCAAGCAGGAGACTTTTGGACTAACTTCATCCTGGCCCCCTGGGGGGAGTTATTCATGGAGGCTCTGGACCTAGGTGGGAGTTTTCTCTGCCCTGGAGGAAGATTAAGGAGGAGAAAGGGGAATGGAAGGAGGAGGGGGAGGAGGAGAAGTGGTAGAGGAGGAGAGGGAAGGAGCAGGAGGAGGAAGGGGGAGGGAAATGGAGGGGGAGGAGGCCCTTGTGACCACTTCAGGTTTCCATGCTGAAGGAGAAGTGGGTTTCATAGTTGAGGACTCATGATGGTAGAGAACGAGGAGTTTGGGATGTGAGTGGGAGTGGAGGATTCCCCACATCCATCAGGCCCCTGAGTCTGCCCTTACTCCTTCCCTTCTGACGCTTGCTGTATTTTCCAGTCTCTCTGCCGACCCTGGTCCCAGAGGGGCCTTTACTCATTGCATAGGGCAGACAGGAGAGGGGCTGGGAGGCTCTGCAGGAGAGACTCACTGGCTGTTACAGATTGGAGGTCCTCCACGGATGAGGAAGAGTTGGGGGTTTGCTGAGCTGGGAATCTGGATAATCAGCCTTATCTAGATCAAGGCAGTGCTGCATAGATTTGAGTGTTCAGAAGGGTAGGCCCACTGAAAAGGGAGAACAGAAGTTCACGCACTGACATAACCACCCAGTGACCCACCCACCCAGTGACCCATCTACCTGTATCCATTCATCCACTCATCCATCCATCCATCTCTCTGTCCATCCATCATCACTCAACCTATTCATTCACCCACTCATGCACCCACACACTCATCCACCTACCTATCCACTCCGCTCCATTTCACATTCTCCTGTTTATCTACCCACCTCTTCACACATCCATCCATCTTCCTACCCACCTGCTCATCCATCCATGTAGGGCTGAGGTCAGATTGTACATGGTCCTTGAATGCCAACCTTAAATTAGATTGAAAGATGTGTGTATGTGTGTATGTATGCATACATCCAGTACTAAGGATGGGACCCAGGGTCTTGTGCATGCTAGGCAAGCACTCTACCACTGATCTATACCCCCAGCCTTTAAAAAATTGTAGAGACTGGGTCTCCATAAGTTGCTCAGTATGGGCTCAAGCCTGTGATCCTTCTGGCTCAGTAGCTGGGATTACAGGTGTAAGGCCATCAGCCCAGGTGAAATGTGTCTTTTGAGACAGCTGCCAAGGAGCCGCCTAAGTGAACACTGGAAGGTTAGCAGGAGGTTAGCAGGCATAGTTGGCAGATCCTGGAGTAAGTAGGGCCAGGACATTTCAAGAAGGGACCTTTTGTGCATCTTCCTGCCAGTTTTTTAAAAAAAGATTTGGGAACCAAATGGGGGCACAACAACTGTCATGAGCAGAACACCTGGATCATGTTTTTAGGAAGCCAGTTTGTATTAACTGTAGAATGCAGGGCAGCAGATGGGATGATTTGGATTGCTTGTTCTCAAAAGTTCTTAAAGGAAAGAGTGCCCAGCCAGGCTTTCTGGCATCATTGTTGGGTTAGGGCTGGGTGACAAATATTTTTGAGCAAGCCAATAATGTGGAAGAGGTGACTTTCAAGTGTTCACACTTTTAAATAGAGACTACTAGTAGCCTTCAAGGTCAAAGCCAAGCCTGGAGTTGTGTGGGGCCTGGCCTTGTAGAGGAGCCATCACTGTCACTTATCCTTGCCTCTGTCCCCCTCCTCTCCTTAGGTGGGTTTCTCTCTGTGTGCACAGTATCTAAAACATACTGGGTGTTCAACAGTGCTTGTAGCATGTGAGTAGACCATTAGTCCAAAAAACCTATCAAGTGGCTACTGTGAGCCAGGCATTGTTCTAGGAGCTGAGAGTAGAACGGTAGGTGAGACAAATTCCTCATTATTAGGATCTCAGTTTAGTGTTAAGTGGGTTTAAAAACAAACACAGGTGAGCCAGGCATCTCACAGTGCATAGCCTGCTGTTTCCAGAGCTCTGTGCCAACTGGTACTTATAGGTGCAGGTGCAAGTAGTGGTGGGTGGTGGTGTCTTGGGATTTAGACCTGGTGGTTATTTCTAGGAAATAGAGTGAAGAGAGGGCAGTGCTTCCTGAGAAGCTATGATCAGTGGGGGATCCTACCTACTATTCATCAAGCACTTGTTATACGTGATTCATTTGCACTTGGCCCTTTGTGTCCTCTGGTTCCGCATCCATTGATTCACTCAAACTCATGTAAAAATGACTTGGAAATAAATTGTGTCTGTGCTGAACATGTACAGACTTTTTTCCTTGTCAGTATTCCCTAAACAATACAGTAATAACAACTATTTACATAGCATTTCCATTGCATCAGGAATTGTAATTGAGATAATTTAAAGTATACGGGAGGATGTGCATATGTTATGTGCAAATCACATGCCACTTTGTATAAGGGACTTGAGTATCTGCAGATTTTGGTGGCTGTGGGGGTCCTAGTACCAGCCCCTTGCAGTTACTGAGGGAGGGCTGTATATACCGCCTGTGATTGCATTTTCCACTCACCCCGTGAGGCAGGGTGTTTTATTTGCTCAGTTTCATGGAGGGAGAACTAAGATCCCAGGAGCTGGTGTGACTCAGCCCAGCCATGGGGTGGGGCAGGATGGGGAGAAAAGCTGGTAGACGCTGGAGCTGAACCCACTCTAGCTTATAGCCTGTTCTTAATTACTTGGCCTTACTGCCTGGGAGGTGGAAGGAGGCGGCAAGAGCGCTCTTCAGGAGCTGGCCCCTGGTTAGAAGGATTTTGGAGAGCTGTCCTGGGTGTGCTCTTGTCCTCGAGTGTGGAGCTGTGGTTGACTTCAAGCAGACCTGCCCAGGCAGGCCCCCGGTGCTTGAGTACTGAGAAGGCCACTGGGTAATGCAAATCATGCCTGCCCACACCTATATGGATCCTATAAGTTACACAAATCCCTGAATAAAATTACATACTGCTGTAATTTATAAGCACCAAGCTGCACTCATAGCTGCAGGGGAGGTGCTGAGTGCTGAGGAAAACTGTCAACAGCTCTGGGGCCCGCTGGGCCATCGAAACTCTGGAAGTGAAACAGTCACTAAGGGCTGTGGCTGCCTCTGCTACAGTGGCAGGAGGGGGACCTGGATCTGTAGAGGCTTTGAGGGTTGACTTAGCTCTGGTTACTTGACAAACATGTATTGATCTCTTCCCATGTGGAGGCCCCTCCAGAAACCAGCAGTGGTGACTGCTACGAGACAGTTGTCACAGCTAACTCTCATGGAGCCCTTTCTGCAGCCCCGGAGCTGGGCTAAGAGCCTGCTCTCCTTCATCCTCACAACCACCCTGAGAAGTAGGTACTTTGTGGTCCCTGTTTTATGAAGGTAAAAACAGGCTCACGGAGGTTAAGCAACTCGCTCAAGGTCACCAAGACAGTAATCAGTAGAGATGATCTCAAATTAACTGACTGATTTAAACATCTGGCTCGTAGCCATGATGCTGTTTTGCCCAGGTCTGGCTCCTGCCCCTGTGACTCATCAAAGACAGCTGATTGGGGGAAGCAGACCACAGCAGTGGACTCCAAGAGGATTCTGGGAACAAACTGAGGCCAACTTGCTGTGTGTGCAAAGGTAAACATTCATGTATTCATGTACTTGTCTGTGTGTGGGTTTGAGACTTTGCATGTGCCACATGCTCACAGTTGTGTGTGTTCTGCATGTGTTTATATGTTTGCTTCCTCACATGTGTATTTGCAAGGGAGTGGCTGGATGTTTTATATTCTTGTTCACAAGTATTAGCATATGTGTATGTTTCCAAGCTAATGTACATAGTGTGTATCTAGTTTTTATTCCAGATTTGATTCTCTGTGCTTTACAGGTATTAACTAATCTCATTCTCACAGTAACCCTATGAGGCAGGTACTATTCATCTCCCCAAATCATATGTAAGATCAAGGCTCAGGGAGGGGACCAGATTCCCTAAGTGCCCTTCTTGTGTTCATGGAATTATTTTCTTCCTTTATGCCTGCTGCCCTTATTTTCTGTGCATGGGTTGGGCCATGACACCCAGGTTGGCAGGTCAGAGTCACTGTGATGGTTCAGTCTCATGAGCAGCATCAGAAGGTAGTTCAATGTCACTCAAAGCACAGCCTGCACATTCCTGTCCTCTCTCCCAGATCTCTTTCAGATCTCAGGAGTTGGAGTCTCTGGGGCTGGGACCCAGGAAGCTGTGCTTTCCCAAGCCCCTGTGCACTTAGGAACCTGGACCCTGAAGCCACACTGCCCAGGCGGGGGTTAGAATTCCAGCTCTTACATTCGCCAGGTGTGGACAGGATGTATCAGCTTTCTGTGTCTCAGTCTCCTCATCCCCGAGTGGAGATAATACTAGTAGTCCTGGTCTGTTTGAGGATGAAGCAGGTTAATTCATACAAAGTACCTACAGCAGTCTCTTGGGAGCTTGCTGTCATTGTCCTTATGCAGGGATGGGCAGGAGACCGAATTGTACCCAGCGACCATAAGCCCTGGAATTTTGCTGGCACCATTAAGAAAGAATGCCTCTCTCTACTGTGACAGGGTATAAGCCTGGAGCTGCTGGTGACCATGTGGCACCTCAGCAGGAGAGCTGGCCCGAGAATAAAGTGACCAAGAAGGACATTGAGGCAGATGTGTCCCTGTGGACATTTTGAGGGCCAGAATTCAGTCCTGAAGCCACTAGGATTGTCTCTTTCATGAGCAAATATATTTCCTTTGAGTTGGACTCCTGTCATCTTCCCATGAAGCATCCCTGCCAAACACCTGATTTGACCCACACATTTTGTGCAGTGACCCATAGTGTGTCCAAGGCTGGTCAGCGAGTTAAGGCAATGCTGGAGCTCCTGGTCCCCAGCCTGGTGCCTCTTCTTGGCTGTCTTGTCCCAGTGAGATGTCCCTAGACCCCATCACCCAGCCCTCGGGGCCAGTTCTCTCCTGGCTAGCTGACCATTTCTTCACCAACACTGCTGCTTCCCCGGGCATATGGCAGGGCTTCCCCCAGGGTCCAGGCTCCCTTTATTCAGCCTCATCATGAATGAAGGTTTTGAAGCTGTGTGGGAACATTTTGATGAGGCTCCTTAGCTTTTCAAATGTCAAACAGGTCTTTGCTCTTCCAGGACCCCTGTAGCCACTGCTGGGCCCTGTCCCTGATCTGCCAAGCACTCAGCCCCAAGCCTGGTGATGGCTGAGATCAGAGGTTGAGGCCCTTGAGGGCAGTGACTGTGTCCATCTCTTTTCTTCCTTCTTCAGTCAAGATGTGTGTGTGGGCAGGGCCAAAAGGCAGTTTTTGCCTTTGTTTCCCCAGCTTGGTCTCTGGCATGCTGCTTCTTCTCTGCCTGCCTGCTGCCCTCACCCCTTCAGCTTGCCCCCCACCTTGCCTAGCTTCCCACTGCCCCCTCCTTCCTCCCTCCATACCTCCTCACTTTCAGCTCCCACCTTCTCCTCCTCTCCCAAATGCTTAGCCTCCTTTAACCTCTCCCGTATGACCTCTCCCCATCTCTCCCTGGCTTGCAGCTCACTCCACACACCCTATGCTTTCATGGCTTCTTGCTTTGTCCTATCCCCAGAGCTCTCTGGGTTTCTCCATCCTCTCTGATCTCCCATAGCCCTGCCTCTGGCAGCAACCTCACACCTGTCTTCCCCCCTCACTCCCTCTCCTGCAGGTGGCTTGCTGCCAGTCGGGTACCAGCCGGGTTGCCATGGGAACCACTGAGCAGCTTAGGAAGCTGCCATAGATCTAATCACAGGCTGTGAGGCTTCAAGGAACAGCTCACTTTGTGGACAGAAGACCGGTGCTGACAGCCAATTAGGCAGATTCTAGTGGCCAGGGAGGGGGAGCAGGAGCCACAGAAGATGTCAACCTAGGCAGGGCCAGGTCTCAGGACAGATCCACTCAGCCCACACTATCTGTGCCTCATTGGCACCCTCAGGCCCTCTGGGATTTTCCTGAAGAGAACACTGATGCTACATTTGTTTTCTCCTTTTTCTTCCATCACTCACATTCATTCGTTCATTCATTTGCTCACCAGACACCCTCTGTTTGAGTGGAGAAGGGAGTGAATTTGCAATAGACAGGTGATGTGCTCCCAGGGCCTTCACAGGACTGCAAGGAGACAGTGCCTTATGCAGAAACTTTCCCCCAGTGTGCTCAGAGTCCCTGGCTGGGAGCGTCTGGGGCTGGAGGAGACTGGAGGTGGGCAGGAGGGCCTTGCTAACTGGCGGGGAGTGAGGGAGTGTGCTGCACAGGAGGTCCTTGAGCTATGTCTTCAAGGGAGGAAGAGGAATTCATCAGTGAGCCATGGTGATGGCCCTGCTGACCTGCAGGCTGTCTCTGCAGGTAGATCATGGACTCTATCTTTGAGTAAAATCCCAGCCTATTGGGAAACAGCAGAGTGAGGCCACAGGAGCCACTACTGGCAAACGTTTCTGTACAGCTTTTTGGTGATGCTCAGAGAAGATCCTCTTACAGCAAAGCCAAGGATGCACTAGGCACGGCCCCACCCCTGGACAAATGGCCCCAGTTCACAGCACCAAAGTGCCCCCATCAGTGGTCTCTGGGAAGCAGAAGGTGGGGAACCTTCAGAGAGAGGTATCCTACCCACTTAATACTCTTCTAGATCCAATTTAGTTGTGTGGCCGACGGGACTGTGTCACAGCTTGGCAGGCCAGAAGGGCCAGCAGCTTGGTCTCATCTTAGATGGCTCCCACTGGTACCAGTCTTTTGGTTTCTTTCCTCCAAGCCAGATACTGTGTTTGCACATAATTTGCATACATTTGTATGTGGCATTGCAGAGACCAGCATAACATGAGGAAAACACATTTTTCTTACCAGGGTGCTTGCAGCCTGGATCAGAGCCCAGGTGCATAGAGAACAGGGCTCAATTGTTCCTTCCTCTGGGGCACCATTTCTGCTTTTCTTCCTCTCCCCACCATGGAGCCTTGGACCCCAAGTCAGCAAGGTTGGAAGCCATGGAAGTCAGGAAGCCTGGATTCCTTTGGTCCTGGAATGGGCACTTGTTTGCCATGTGACTTGGGTGGGTCATTCTTTCAGTGTCTCCAAGTATGTACTGGAAGAAGTGTTCTCCTTCATTATCCAGTTATCGGGCTCTACTCACTGTGTGCTTACAATATACCAGGCCCTCTGTTCTGGAATAAGGAGAACCAGTTATGATCCCTGGCCTTGAGGGGAAACTGGCTTTAATCAAATGATCACCCAAGCCAATGTGCAGTTGCTACACAAACACAATCATGGTGCCATGTGGGAACTCAGAGTTAGTCTAGAAGGTCATGGGAGACTTCCTGGAGGAAGTGTCTTTCAGCTGAGATGTTCAATGGGAGAAGGTAAGGAGGGACTGGGAGAACCTTCGAGGCAGAAGAATAATGTGCAAAAGCCTTGGAGTGGTAAGGAGCAAGTGACTGTGGAGAAGGAAGAGGAAGACAGGGTGGTTGAGTGGAGATGGATGAGGAGAGAGAATCGAAAGGAAGATGGGGCTGGCTCCTTGGTGTCTTCCTGGCCCACTACTCTTTAACACTGTCATGCCACAGTCAAGCAAGGAAGTGTGGAGAATGGGTGGAACAGAAATGGAGCACCAGTTGGGAGGCTGTGGGGCTCCTAGGTGAGAGGAGGCAAGGGCATGAGTTGGGGACAGGAAGGTAGTGATGGAAAGAAGTCACGAGAGCATCTGGTAGTGACAGACTTGGAGGGCGATCATGGACAGGGAGTATGGAGGTACTGATGATAACCTCTAGATTTCTGAGCATCTTGAGTGAGAAAGGTGATCCACTGACAGAAGAGGTGGACCTGGGACTGGAGGAACCCAGAGCTGGAAGGGCATTGTGGTTCTGTTTGCATTGCCTTGGAGGCCTCCTAGTGGCAGCTGGGTAGAAGGGCCAGGAGCTCAGGGAAGGGTTGGACAGGCGTGTTGTGTGCTCCCAATCCTCTGCCCCAGTCTCAGAAGCCCCTGTGCATCCTGCATCTTCTAGAAGCCCCCAGGCTCGTCTGTCTTTGCCTTAGTATTTTAGGGTTATTTCTAATCTGCAGACAGGCAGAACTCTGAGAAATGGTTTATTCACACATCTGTCTTCTGCACCAGGCTGGGGGCACCATGAGGACACTTTCCCCAGTGTTCACAAAGCCTACCACAGGCCTGTTACACAGTAGGTGTTTAGTGTGCACTTGTTGAATGAGTGGCTGGATGCCAGGGTTTTATTTTACGTTTTGCTGCCCTCCCCCACACTTGGCTTCTTAAAGGTAATAACTGGATTTCATGCTCAGCTGTGCCCTCCACAGAGCCTGGCCTGCACACAGCTGGTGCTCAGTACAGGTCTGTGGCTTATTCCTGTTGCAGCCTTTTCCCAAGCAAGTTGACTCCAGCCTCAAGTCTCTACATGGAGCTGCCATCCCCTGAGGTGTAATGGATACATATTTCTCATTGCTCACATGTCTTGCTTCCCCTGCCAACACTGTATTAAATGGCTGTGCAGCAGCTCAAGTGAACAAATATTCCTTTCAAAATTATTACATTCACCTTTTGTTGGCGGAACATGCCGTATGAAACATCCCAACCTCTTATTGAGTGTGGGTGTCTGCTTTCTGCTTC